TTTTTTTTTTTTTTTTAAAGACTGAAAAAGACAGAAATGAAACAAAAAAACGAGACAGAAAATGGAAATAAATTCACACAAAAGAGGAAAAACAAGTCAGCAAAATGAGAAAAATGAGAAAAACGGGACTCAAAAGACACTCGTTTTTGTTTATGTTTGTTTATTTATTTGTTCCTGCTGACTGAAGTCATCTCTGAGCTTCTCTCCTGCTTCATGGTGGCAGGACTTTTATTTTGAAGTGAAAAATGAACCCACAGTGAAGAAAAACAAGAAAAGAGCAAAGAAATAAAAACAGTGAGAGTCTGAGTCTTTAAGTTGAAGTGTTATTTTTTTCTATCTGAGTGAAAGATTTGCTTCTTAAACTTTCTGTTTCTCACAGAAGCAAAGAAATCGGACTTTTATTTTGAAGTCGCTCCCTCTCAGCAGGAAGTCTGAATGTCGTCACTGTGGGAACTTCATCTCTGAGCAGCAGCTTGTGAAGACTCCTGCTGGTTTCTGATCCCTGAGGCTCCTGTTGACCTCCTGAACCCTGAAGTCAATGTTTTCCTTCACAGGATAAAGTTTCGTGAACGTTTCGTAAACGTTTCCTAAAACAACCCGTCTCCAGCTGCAGAGGTTCCGTGTTTCCCGTCAGAGTCAGGTTCCGGATCAGAGCCGACTCGTCCGCCGAGTGTCTGACAAACCCGTTTTTCTGGAGCGTTTGTGGGAAGAAGGTGTGTCGGCGTCCCAACAGCCGGTTTGTCCTCAGGAGCTCGTCTGTGGCCCTTCAAAGTAAAGCAGCTTTAATCCCCCAAACAAACGCTGTGGAGTCGCTTCCTTCATGTCAAAGTCCTGAACAGTGACCACATGTCGGGAGTCGAGCTAATCCTCTGATACCAACAGTTTCTGGGCGGTTTTGGCTCTTTTTGTTCACTGTGGCTTCATGTTTCACTTCAAAATAAAAGTCCTGCAACCAGGACGAAGGAGAGAAGCTCAGAGATGACTTCAGTCAGCAGGAACAAATAAATAAATAAACAAACATAAACAAAAACGAGAGTCTTTTCTGTCTCATTTTTCTCATTTCTCCCATTTTCTGACTTTGTTTTTCCTCTTTCATGTGAATTTATTTCTACTTTGTGTCTGTTTTTATTCATTTTGTCATTTTGTTATTTTTTTGTTTTGTGTCATTTT